CGATGTGCTTACTTCGACCATGTGCTATTGGGTTCTTCGCCAAATTAATAGCTGACATGCTGTCTATCTTCATGGTAATTGCTCCATGATTTTTTCCTGTTATCTCTTCGACCAAGTTCACCATCCAAGTTGCTTGACATGCACAAAGAGAAGCAACTATGTATTCTGCTTCGCATGATGATAATGCCACTACTGGTTCCTTTCTTGAATTCCAAGCAACTGGTGCACCACCTAGCATAAACACATATCCTTCTGTTGACTTTCGATCTTCAGCATCACTACACCAACTCGAACCAGTGTATCCCACTAACTTGCATTCTTTTCCTTTATCAACTGCAGGAAACAAAATGCCATAATCGAAAGTTCCTTTGAGATACCTTAGTATCCTCTTCACTGCTGCTAGATGTGATACCTTTGACTTCTGTATGAATCTACTTACCATACCTACACTATATGCTAAGTCAGGCCTTGTATGACAAAGGTATTTCAATGATCCAATAAGTCTTCTGTATTGGGTTGGATCAACATCATCTTCATATGCATCTTTCAACAGTTGCAGTCTTGGTTCTGCAGGTGTCAAAGTTGAGTTGCATTCTTCCATCTCAAACCTCTTGAGAATTTATCCTGCATATCTTCTTTGATGCATCATCAAACCTCTACTGCTCTTGTAGAATTCGATATCAAGGAAATATGAAATCTCACCCAAATCAGACATTTCAAATTCCTTGCTGAGATCACCTTTGAAGTCTTCGATCTCACTTTTACAGCTACCTGTTATCAACAAATCATCTACATAGAGACATAGTATAAACAATTTACTCTTGCTTCTTCTTACATATACTCCATGTTCAGTTGTGCACTTCACAAATTCCTTCTCCCTTAGAAAACTATCAATTTTCTTATTCCAAGCCCTTGGAGCTTGTTTCAATCCATACAGGGCTTTATGTAGCCTGTACACCTTTCTTTCTTTGTCATGTTTCACAAACCCAACTGGTTGTTTAACATAGACTTCTTCATCTAAAGATCCATTTAGGAATGCACACTTCACGTCCATCTGACATATGTGCCAACTGTTTATTTCTGCTAGACCAACAATCAACCTGATTGTTTCGATCCTAGCAACAGGTGCAAAAACTTCATCGAAATCTATTCCTTCTTTCTGTAGAAATCCTTTCGCCACAAGTCTTGCTTTGTGTCGAGTTACTTCACCTTTCGAATTCGTTTTCACTTTGTATACCCACTTGACATCAATTGCCTTCTTGCCTTGAGGAAATTCTACAAGTGACCAAGTGTTGTTGTCTTCGATAGACTTTACTTCTTCGTTCATTGCTTTTACCCACTTCGAATCCTTTAATGCTTCAGCTACATTAACGGGTTCGACATCTGTGTAGAAAGCATAATGTACCAGCTCACCTTCATTATCTATTACATCATCTGATGTAATCACACAATCTTGCAATCTTGCAGGCATGCGTCTTGTTCTTTGAGGCCTGCTTGTACTTGGTATATCTGCCGGTTCTTCTTGTCGAACTTCTCTTTCGACTTGAGTTTCTGGCTCTTCAAGAAGGATTCCCACTGAATCTTTCTTGATATTTTCAGTCCAATCCCATTCTTTAAACTTATCTATGATCACGTACCTGCTGATCACAATCTGCTTTTTCACTGGATCGAACAACTTGTAGCCTCCTGTCGAATGATATCCAACTAGAATCATTTGACTTGACTTATCATCAAGTTTTCTTCTCAACTGATCTGGCACATGTCTATGTGCAATAGATCCAAATACCTTCAGATGACTCAAGCTAGGCTTCACACTAGACCAACATTCTTCTGGAGTAATTTCTTCGAGCTTCTTTGTAGGACATCTATTTAAAATGTATGTTGCAGTCGAAACAACTTCACCTCAAAACTCTTTAGGTAAATTCTTGCCTTTCAACATACTTCTCACCATATTCATGATGGTTCGATTTTTCCTTTCTGCAATTCTATTTTGTTGTGGAGTATAGGGTCGCACCACCTCATGCATAATCCATTCCTTTTCACATAATTTGTCGAAGTCTTTCGACACATATTCTCCACCACCATCAGTTCTCAAAACTTTGAGCTTTCGACCACTTTGTCTTTCGACCATAGACTTAAACTTGGTAAATACTTCGATCACTTCACTTTTCTTCTTGATCAGTTAAGTCCATAGCTTTCAACTGAAATCATCTATGAATGTAATAAAGTATTTGTTATCTCCCATCAAATCCACCTGGATTGGTCCACATACATCAGAGTATATGACTTCAAGACTAGCCTTCGATCTGCTTCCTGCATCCTTGCTGGAGCTATTCTTGTGTTGCTTTGCCTGCACACATTCCTCACATACCTCGTTTGGAATGTCAATTTCTGGCAATCCTGAAACCATATTTCTTCTCTTCAAATCTCTGATGTCTCTGAAGTTGAGATGACCTAGTCTATAATGCCATATCCATTCATCTCTGCTAGCTGCATTCGAAAGGCACTTGTGCTCCATCACATTTAGTTCAATCTTGAAGGTTCAATTCTGAGACATAGTAGCCTTCAAGATTAATTTCCCATTTGCATCAACGACTCTCATCATTTTATCTTTGATTGACACTTTATAATTCTTTTCGACCAACTGTCCTATACTGAGCAAATTGCTCTTCATGCCTGATATGTACAACACATTGGAGATTACTGACCTTTTGCCATCTTTCCTCATAATCATAACATCACCAATAGCTTCAGCTGCTAGGGTATTGTCATTTGCAAATTTTACCATATTTTTCATTGAGGGTTTTATATTGACGAACCAGTCTTTCCTTCCAGACATATGTGATGAACATCCTGAATCCAAGTACCATTGATCCTTGAATCTATCTCCATCTCTTGTTGTGACCATCAGCATCATCTCTTCTTCTTCTTCTTCTTCATGTTTTGCAAGCTTTGCATCACTTTCTTGATTCTTTCATTTTTCTGGACAATCACTCGCATAATGACCATACTTCTGACAATTGTAACATTGAATGTGACTCTTATCAGGTTTTCGACTACCACCTCTTCCTCTATTTGCAATACCACCTCTTTGATTGCCTTGGTATGATTTTCTTTGATTCGACAGATTTCCTTCGATCTGGTTTCCTCTACCATTCGATTTGTTGTAGCCACCTCTACCTCTGTCGAAACACTTTCCTTTGCCTTTGGTCTCTTTTGCTGAATGTGCCTGCAAGGCCACATCACTCTTCGATTTTCCTGCAGCTCTTTCGTTCATTCTTTGTTCATGAGATTCAAGCGTCCCTTGAAGCTCTTCCTTTGTCAATTTCGACAAGTCTTTCCCCTCTTCTATCGCCACCACTATATGGTCGAACTTAGAAGCTAAAGATCTCAAGATCTTCGATACAACAGCTCTTGTTGTTAACGCTTCTCCACATATCTTGATTTGATTTACTAGTTTTGTAACTCTAGTGAAGAAATCAGATATGCTTTCATTGTCTTCCATCTGAAGCAGTTCATAGGTCCTTTTGTGAGTTTGTAACCTCACTTCTTTCACTTTCTCAGCGCCTCCAAAAGACTTCTCAAGGATTTCCCAAGCTTCTTTTGCAGATTCTGAATCATTAACCTTTTCGAAATTGTCTGGGCTGACACATTGATGAATTATAAATAATGCTTTATAACTCAGCTTCTCAGATTCTATGTATTTCTTCTTTTCTTCTTCTGAAGCATTTTCTCCAAGCGCTTCGACTCCATCTTTTACAAGGTCCCAAAGACCTTGACACCTGAATAAGACTTTTATCTGTTTGCACCCATTCTCATAGTTGTCAACTTTCAGAATTGGTAGTGTTGTTGGATAGTTTGCATTCCCATAACTTGTCATCATGAATTCTTCAATCGTTCTTGATTGATATTTCCATTGAATCGAAACAAAAGCTCTTGATACCAGATGTTGGAAATCCACCAAATTCTATGATGAAATTCTACCACAATGACAATTTAATTATGAGACAAACAAAGAAAAAAAGACAAGACAAATAATTTCTGCAGAGTTTCTCTCTGCTCACAAACTGTGAAAACTTTGTTATTCACTTGCAACTGCAAATTCTGTGAATACAACTTGTTTGACTTGCTTACAAAAATAGGGGTTACTCTCTCTATTTATAACTGAGCTTACACCCTAAACCCAAAGCCCAAAATATCTTTTTGTTACTAAATCAAATCTAATTTATTCTAAACTTAAATCAAATCTATTTAAATCTAAAATAAATCAAATCTTTTCGACATATAGTTTCGACACACTGGATTACAATTTAAGATAAATATACACCTGAGAGAAGTTACTTACGATCATTCAATGGAATAATTATAAATATTTTTATCAATTCAACTGGTTCTTGTAGAGCCCTATGTGGAATCTACTTCTATCATATGGTCTTTTTTTTTGTTTAAACTGAGCAATCTTATAAACAAAGTGGCGTAGAGCTACTTTCTTCACGGTGGCTGTGAGTTGATAACATGTAATTTCCACACACAAAAGACCTTGGCAAAATTGCGAAATTACAAAATTGTACAATAGTAAGACCAAGAAAGAGCACAGCTACGGAGCTTCAAATATGGAGACACCATGCAATCTACAATTACAATTTACAAATGAACGCATACATACACCCACAGATTTAAAAAGAAAAGAAGATTTAAAGAATTCTCTGCACCCTCTTCATTCAATCTCTCTTTATCTTTCAGTTCTCTAACGCCTCTGTTCCAAGAAAGAAAGTAGATTGTCTTCCTCTCTCCTATAAAAATAAACTATTTACAACACCAAAATATTTCACTTCGACCTAGAGCCGGTCATCACAAATCCTTCATTATGCGTGTGTAACTTCGATCCACATATAATAGAAACCGAAAGCTACACGTATTTGTACAAGGTGCAATGAGTTGATGTTTGAATATACAAGTCCATTTACAAATCTTTACATTATACGAATGGGTTCCCTCATTTAGGGAAGGGGTTTAGAGGTGGGAGTGGTTGACGGCTTACCAGTTGGCTGCTGATCTGTATTTGACAAGCCGAAAATGTCTCGCTCAGCTCCAAAATTCCCAGCTTCTTGCCTGCATATTCAGTTTAAATCTCTTAATATTGAACACCAATCTATTATTAAATTCCAAAAATGTGTTTTAAAAAGTATAAAGGGTTCACCATATCACTTCGTGCTATACAGCATGCATGGGAGAGTTGGACCCAAAATGAGTTTCCAAGAGAATATATAAAATCTAATAAGCTAAAATAGCCTAAGCAAGTAATAAATATGATCATGATTGAAGATAAAATTACCTTGGCAATTTCGTGTTAGTTGGCATTTGCTGCCCATTGTAAGACCCTAAGATACATTAACATGGTTCAGGATACTGAAAAGCAAATGACTGTAGGCATACGCGAGTTAATTGAAGAATGGTAAAAGGATAAACATACCTGTTCCCAATGCTGATGCATGAGTTGGTGCTTGTGGAGGTAGGAATGACGCATATGGTGACGATAGGGTTGGGTTCCAAGCATGGGATGGATTACCCAGGCTTGAAGGGTCCAAAGTGCCTGAAGATGGTACATTAGGCGGGGCAGCTTGAAAGGATGGCAGGGGTGGATTCCATGCAACTGGTTGAAGACCTTGGCTTGAAGAGTGCATAGTGCCTACATTAGGAAGGGGTGGATTCCATGCAACTGGTTGAAGACCTTGGCTTGAAGAGTGCATAGTGCCTACATTAGGAAGGGGTGGATTCCATGCATCTGGTTGAAGACCTCGGCTTGAAGAGTGCATAGTGCCTACATTAGGAAGGGGTGGATTCCATGCATCTGGTTGAAGACCTCGGCTTGAAGAGTGCATAGTGCCTACATTAGGAAGGGGTGGACTCCATGCAAGCAATGGATTACTCTGGCATGGAGGGAGCATCGGGAGTGAAGGCGATACACTAGGCATCGCACTATGCAAGGATGAAATGGAAAGAAACTGCAACCAATGAAAACAACATATATACTGTCTGAATTAACCAATGAATCAACATGTTAAAAAGTCAGTATATCACATTTCAATGTCCCAACCTTTTCAATGATAGGAGATCACAAACAAAACAAAGACATCAATTTTCAACACATCCAATATTCTTATTAATAATGCAAGATGCAAACTTTACGCAGTAATGTACAGTTACTAACTTCCTATAGAACCAAAAAATAAATGAAGAGTTTTTTTACTTAATGTGGACAAAATCCAATCAATTGTTAAACTTCCACAAATATGAACTTTCGAAGAGAAAATTCCTCAATTGTATACTCATGCATTATCCACCAAGCATTGACAAGAGTAGGAACTATTATTGGCAATAGTACAACACAGTAAACATACTCATATTATAAATCAATGAAAGTCACATACACCTGGGTCTTGATCTGGGGTTTGTTTGCTGCCGACATCAAATGGATTTGTTGACCTTGATGGCTCCGAAAAACTTGGTATGGGCTGTAACAGAGGGCGCACATTTATGAGAGAAATACTCATTTTTTGTACAAGTTACAGATTAAAAGCATCCATTTGGTTGACTCTTTATGAAGGAAATGTCCTTTTTAATATAAAAAAAAAGGTCCTCTCTCTCTGATTATTAATCATAAGCTGTTTGGAGCATAAAAACTAAATGCATAGTAAGATAATCTGGTAAGCTAATCATTCTGGGTTGTAACAGTACCGCCACATTATTATTATATTGCATTGAGATGCCCCTGCCCTGGGGAAGACCCGCCTGCCAACCTTGAACTGGAGCAGAGAAGGAAGAGTGTTTTGCAGTGAACAGATCCTGCATCAATCACAATTAATTGTTAGGCAAACAATAAACACATGCAAGTGTATACAAAAGGCAGAGGTTGTGAAGCAAACTAAGTCACAATTACTTCAGAAAGTTCTGTTCTTCCACTTGGTTTTACTTCTACCGCAGAAGTTTGAGAAAGAATACTGTTAAAAGCCTCATTGGCTGGCTTCGAAGCACGATGGTATGCATGAGGCATTGGTGAGTTGGGATATCCCTGTCCTGTGGGTACAGAAGGTACATGCGATGGCTGCAAGATATTTCCAGGATGGTGAAAATAATGCTACATCATAAATAAACAGTCAACAGTATTTGACATGACAACTCCATTATCCAAACCTGACTATTTACAGCAGAGAACATCGGTTGCTGATGCTGCGAACTAGCCCACTTTCCTACATTATTATGAGGTAATACAACTTCCAGTCCGGAAGATGGCATCGAAGCATCATTGGATGGGAAAGATGATAAACTGCCAAAACTAAGAGCCCCTGCTGGAATAGGTCCTGCAGATATAAAAAAAATGAGTCATCACTTCTTGGTGATGTTATCACACTGCCATTACAACTTGTGTATCACCTTGGACTCCCGAAGCATGAGAAGATAAAGATGCCGAATAAGACAATTGGGACAGTGCGGATTCAAGTGGATTTAAATTTGAGGTGTTTTGATTTGCTTTCTTCTCAGAAGCAATATCAAAAGAGGCCCAATTGTCATCACTGGAATTTCCTGGCTGCAAAACAGGTTGAGGCGCGCTAGTTTGTTGGGCTTGAGGAATTGTGGAAGCAATAGGATCAGCATCAAAATCAATAAGGTTCTTAGTAGTCTCAAGCTTAACATTTACTTGGCTTTCATTACTGGATACCAAGCTACCGGAGGATGCAGTTCTCTGAAATCATGGACAGACGGTTATTGTTGTATAATTTGGGTACAAAATCCAGTTGGCCACCTTACTAAAAGGGGAGATGGAAGATATCACTCAATGCAATTCATGCCAAACAAAGTAAACTGTAAATGCTGAGCCACATCTTACAAGAAAACTTCAAAGAATATAAGGAAAGTAATATATTTAACAGTAAATTGAAAACGAAAAATATCTCTAGTTGTTAAAATAAAAAACAAACATCTCTGAAGTCTAATTGAAACTAGAGGTAGAGGAATACACTCCCCGTAAGAAGAGTACTTTGGCCTTGAAGCATGGAAAATACACAAACACGCCGGCTGAAATTCAACTATTATTCAAAGAATAAATGGGCCAATGGGAGTGGCAAAGTCGAACTATTAGACAACTTGGTTATATAAGCCGATACTACATTATCGCAAAAGTTGATCCATGTAATTGACTCCACCTAGTGGGATAAGGCTTAGTTGTTGTTGTTGTTATATAAACTGATACTATGGGCATGTTTGAATAAACAACTTATAGCACAAGTTCTTAACAATATAAGTGCTGAATTATAAGCTTACGTAAGCTATTTCTATAATAAATGAAAAAATAATTTTAAATTGTTTTTGTATATATTAGAAACTGTTTTCATAAGATATCACAAGTTAAAATTGTTTTATCATTTTATGAAAAAATATCACAAGTTGTTTTCATAAATTCGCCCAAACAGTTTCACAAAATATATTTCAGTAGATAAGTACACATATGCTAATCCAAACAGGTCCTATGTCATGAACTAACAATCCCCCTACACCGGAAGCCATTAGGCAGAACACAAGAATGCATGACTTGATTGGTTTTTATATTACATTGTAGCATCAGTAATAGTTTCACCTGTGTCAGTGTTGAGGCATTGGCAGCTTTTCCATTGTTCCGTTTGGGAGGTCCACTTATCCTAAGAGGTACTACATTTTCTCCCAAAAATTCTCTAACGGGTCGGCCCACAGGTGGGCTAGAAGAGCCCATATTTCTGACTTGCACAGGGGATTTACTTTCCGTCTTATAATCTCCATCTGATTTTCTACGTTCTTCACGATGCCAATCATTGATAACTGGAGGACGACCGGGACTTCTCTTATAGTTACCAACTTGCCTACTTTCTTGATCATATCCAGGACTTCTTCCACCGGGACTAGACCTATCACTATAACAAGGTTCATGTGAGTCTTCATATGGAGGGCTTTTAGATCCTCCCTCCTCAACTCTCCTGTTTTCATATGACCCATCTTTGTCACCACCCTAAACAACATGCAGCACAAGAGAGAAGACTGAAGTTAGAATTGGCTGACCAATTCAATCAATTCTAAAGCAAAGGCAATAACTCACAACTTGAAATTGAACCTATATCAAACTGTCAAATATTTGCTTAAAACAATAAATCCAAAAGGGTGAAATCTTACGTTTTTCACTCGTTTGTCAGAGGTACTATCTCCGGTGAATCTCCTATCCACATAAACATGCTTAATAAAGTCTCGGAGCCTGTTAACATTACTGGCACCAAATATGACAGAATAAATGAATAATGCACTCTGCAGCAATACATTAAAACGTACAAGCAAGTACTTACTCACTGTCAGGGAAAGAATGCTGTTGTCCATCCCATTCTTTAAAATAAACATTTCTTGCACGCTGCAAGTATTAGATAAAGCTGAAATAAACTTCAAGAAATATATGATATCATGCAGACTGAAAAAATAAACAGCACAAGTTTTCGCACAAAAAGGCATGGAAACCTGATTCCCTCCTTCTTGAAGTGCAGTAACTTCTTGCGAAGTAAAGTTAGCCATTGAAACTGATTTCACACGATGTGTAAGTTCACGGCTGTAAATTCCCACAAAAACCTCATGAGTTTTGAAGAATGGCCACCATGAACCATAAAAACATGTATTCAACTCAAAGCACATGGTTGAAATATAGGTATTACAATAAGCAGAACTCTTGTAACGACTTACTGTATTCCGCTACAATTAGTGCAAACAAACGTCCAGAAATTTGTGCACACATATTGTGGTCCCTTCAAAAGTATAAAAATAAATTAATTAATGCAACGGATTTGTTATAGCGCCAAATGCAATAATTTCCTTCCTAGATTCTGAAGAATACAATGAAAATGCTCTAAAACCTGGTTAGAAGTTTTTAAACATATAAAAGTCTACAGATACAAATATGATTATCAGCAAAATTTCAAATTTGTCTCTTTAATAAGGACCCTATTTTTCCATGGAATATATAGAATAATAGGTGCCGGGCACAGTATTTATACATTTTCAACTTTCAACCATTGCATAAAATGGAAAGTTTGTCGGTTTCGCATTCCATAAATGGGAGAAATCATATCATACCGAATCGACATTCTACAAAGTTAGCTAGTAGCAATTCATTTAAAGTAGATAAATGCACATGCTCGAAGAAGTAAAATCGAATTCAAATCTATTAACTAAGAAAGAGTTTAAAGCTAATGACTTGGTTATTTTTTTGTTATATTTCAGATACTTAGTTAACCTTCAAACTAGCACTATATGATACTAACACATTTATCTCATTCAATTCGAGTATCACGGAGCAAGCTTGATAGAATGTAATTGTAATTAATTTTTGTTATAGTTGGTTAATCTTGTAATTTCAGCTAATTGTAATAATTATGAAACTAAACTCATTCTTCCTATTTCAAGTATCAAGAATCACATTGCTCGATTTCTACTTCCTAATCTCTGATTCTCTAGTTTTCTCAGCAATATCTTGTACAATGCATGTTCTTACCAAACTGTTGCAGTTAATGCATGTTCGATTGGGTTCGAGCCTAAGAAGAGCTCGAATCGCGCGCTCGTGTTTCTCGTCTTCCCTTAACGGACTCGTCATCTCAACTTGAAACTCCAAACTCGAATTCAATCATTCACAGTCTATGAAGCTCACAATTCGATCGCGGTTCTGAAAAAAGAAAGAAAAAAAAACGTTAGAGCAAGTCAGAATCAAGAACTCAAAAAAATCTGCAAGAAAAATGAAGTTACAGAAAATGAAAATGTTGAATCGAGTGTTTCTTGCTAGCATTTTTGCAGTGAAGTGATTAAGAAACAGAAGATGAAGAAGATGAAGAACAAGAAGGTTATGAAGTGAACCCTAAGAAGTTGAGGAACTGAAGAAAAACGGTTACAAGTTGTTGGAGCTTCTTTTTTATTTTTTTTAACTATATAAAGATTGATAACTGAAACGGAAAGGAGAAAGAAGAAAGAAGAAAAAACAGAAAGCAGAGAATTGGAAAGTGTGAAATGAAATGACGGCTTTGGACAGGTCAGAGAGAGAAAGGGGGTTTTAAAACATGGTGAATATCACATAATTTTTTTAAAACATATTTCTTAAAAATAATTTTTATAAAAAAATATTCAAACTAGTTTGAAGTGTTTTTTCAAAATTTATAAATTAATCTCTTAAATTTTCAAAATTTACAAATTAATGCTATTTTCATATTTTAAATTTGATCTAAAACTTCTAAAATTTATTAAAAAAATAATTTCAAAATTTTAACAATTAATCATTTTAATACTTTATTCAAAAAAAAAATTAAAACAAATAAATTACAATTGAATTATTTAAAAATTTTAATTTCTTAAAAATCATCAATTTTCTCATTCAATCACACTCTAAAGTTATATTTTAAAAAACTAAAACATATAAATCATTTTTAATATATTTTAATAAGGCTTTGTTTGATAGTTGATAGCTGGTTGTTAATAACTGATAACTGATAATTAATAGTTAATAACGGATAACTTATAGCTTATAACTGATGACTGATAGCCGATAAATTAATTCAAATATTTGATAAATTAACTGTTATACTGTATATATGTGTGACTTAATAATAAAGACTTGAATTTTAAGAGTGTATTCTCTTAAAGATTATGTTTGTAATAAATCCCTACAATTTAACGTGTATTTAACCACTTTTTAATTAAAATTTATTAAAATAAACTTTTATAATAACAAATAAATAGATCTACATTAACAAATCTTTACATATATATATAAAGATTTGTTAATGTAGATCTATTTATTTGTTATTATGAAAGTTTATTTTAATAAATTTTAATTAAAAAATGGTTAAATACACGTGTGTATATATATATATATATATATATATATATATATATATATATATATATATATATATATATATATATATATATATATATATATATATATATATATATATATATAAATAATTTATCTTATCTAAACACACTCTAAAATTATATTTTAAAAAACTAAAACAAACAAAAATAAAAAAATATAAATTGTTTTCAATATATTTTAATAAGTGTATAATTGTCAAACAAGTGAAAGAGTCTATACTCTTGTCCATTAGCATATCTGGTGATATATCTAAAGCAGTAAAACCTCTCCTTTGCCTTCTATAATTTGTGGTGGAGGATCCCACTTATATTTATATTTATCTTTGTTTTTTGATCTATTTTTATGATTATTTTTCTTTCTTTTCTTCAAGAGTACCTTGAATTTCACGAGCATGGCTTTTAAGTAATTTATCGTGAAAATTATCACATTTTTGAATAGAGATGTAAATGATTATTCATAAAATTTATATTATGATATTTGTGTCTATTATATTAAATAAATATGATATATGTATTCGTCTCATATTCATTCGAGTATTCACTAAATAGATAATTCGTAAGTTTTAAGATATTTGTGGATATTTATAGATATCTATGAATAATATTTTTTTTAAAAAATATTTTCAATTTCTTTTAAAAACACAAAAAATTATTATCACATAGCATCCATACAATTCACTCTCAATTTAACAACAAATTTTAATATATTAATTTTCTTATTTTTCACCAAAATATAATAACATGTAAACATGAATCATAATATCCATACATTTTATTTTTAGCCAAAAAAATAAAATATATCATGATTGTGAGTTATAGTGGAAGAGAGGACGGGTGAGGAGTAGGAAGGAATATGTTAGTTGGAAAGAGGAATGGTGGTACAGGTTTGTTGAACAATGAAATAGTTAAAGTGAAATATGTAGTATTGAAGAAGTTTAAATATGAAATAGTCAAATATGATTTGTATGGATTGTGAAATGTTTTTTCAAGGAAAATTTCAAAAAAAGAAAAAAAGAAATATAAAAAGACTAAGTTTTTTTAAAAGATAAAAAGATAAGGCGTAATAAACTAATGATATTTAAATAAATTTTATATTTTATTAACGGATACGTATATCCGTAGACACGAGTATCATTAAACTCGTATTCATATCCATTAACAAACGAATATTTAAATATTCATATATTTTATCCGTGGATATCTATTAAATTATCCGCCTCATATTCGTGATGGATTTTATCCAGAGAATCCGCGGGTACAGTTTTTTCCATCCATATCTTTGATTTTCTTGTTTCTAGCGATCCAAATATTTTTAAAACAAACTACTATGACAACTAAATTTCCCTCCCATAAAAATTACTCATAGGGTAAATTTCCATAAGTCAGTACGAGCATTGACACAGAAAATTATACACTAAAATAAGTGGATATGAATGTCGGTATGGGTATCTTAGTATCCACTCCACCCATATCATCACAATATATATTCATATGTTTTTACTTTTACTATTATATTTATGTACACATGTTAATTTATAAATTTTGTTAAATACATCATATTTTGTTCAGGAACTAGAAATGGTTGCTCAAGCTCCCCGAAGGAATCAGAAATTATGAGAGTTGGATAACTACTAATCTTGAACAATGGCTCCGATCTCCACTACGGTGTCGTATGATGGACTTGCACGATTAGCACTCCAACATCCAAATCAGTTCAAGATTCAAGATGAGTGTAGTAAAATTGGAGATCAGAGATTGTATATCTTCTCATAGTGTGTGAACTGTTTTTATATTTTAGGTCGAGTGGAGTGGGATTTTGATGGAATGGGCCTTGGGAGATTGGGCCTTTTGACCGGTCCAAAACAGTTTCCCCCGAGGCTTTGTTGGGCACTAAATAGGTCGGGGGAAGCCTTAAGTATCATCGACCGGCCTCCATGTCGTGGTCCAATGTGGAATGGAGTTGAATCACTCAGTTTTTGAAAAGTAATTAGTAACATGCGCATTTCATGTTGTTTCATCATTGAGACGCTTCATCACTCATTCCTGACACGTGCGGTGATGTGACCAACTAGGATATGGAGTTGAATTTGGCGTGTTTCCATGAGTGTAAATCTATTCGTTGATCTTGGGGTCTCTATTTATAGTTGGTCTTAATCTTTCAACTACGATTGCTTACAAATATGATGAGTTGAATATTTGAAATTTTTTGAAACCTTTTAGCTTTCAAGCTTTCAGTTACATTTTCAGAGAAACATCTTCATTCCTTTTTCTTGAGAACATCACTAGAAGTGATTCAGAGTCTCGCTTAAATTTTTTTCCTTTTTCATTCCTCATGTTTCATCAATTTCCCATAATTAGGTATTGTGATACAGTGGCAGAACCGACTGTTATATACTGGTTTGCATTTTTTGTTTACAAATATTGCGGTAAGCAAGAGTCGCCACTGACTTTTCTTTTATCCAACAAAGGAAAGGGTGAAAAGAACAGAAAAATACCTTTTTCGAAATTTTCTGAGTAAGGGGGGTAGATTATGGAAAGGGAAGGTATTAGCACCCTTTCCATCCGTGGTTTTCCACGGGCTCTTAGGTACTTGCTCATTTTTTAAAACTGTTTGTGTTTGTGTGTTTTGAAAGATTTTTGTTTGCTTTATGGTAACTCTTGTATCAGTCCTCAAGAGTGTGATAAAGCGTTTTTGAAAATAGTTTTTGAAAAGTGTGTAAGTGTGAAAAATTCAGATTTGAGCAAGTACTTAAGAACAGTCTACCTACTCGAAAAAGGATGTTTTTTCCTACTTTCCTTTAGATAGTGCTATCCTACTATTAGTGAGTAGGTAGCCCTATCGTCGGATGTTGAGAAACAATCGAAGGGACGTTTTACAATCACGAAGGCAACTTATGGAGACGCTTTAGCAATTTTCTTTTAGGGACTAGATCATTTACCGAAAGGCAACTGTAGGATCATCGAGGGACTATGATCTTTTTTTATTTATGGGTCTTTACTAAAGCGTTTCTGCCTCATGACTGTTTTATTTCTTAAAGGCAACCAAAGTGGGATACCCTAGAGGTGCTTGTGTGCAATTGTGTTTAATTCAGTTATTTATCTTTTGCTTTTAAAGTTTGCTAACATTTGATTATTAGTATTTCCATACACGCCTAGTTACTAACAGTTAATATATACAGAAAATAAAGTACGGAAAGCGTAAATCTAGACTATTACATGGCTTTGGGGAGGGGGTATTTACAATATACAAAACTGGGGGGAAAGCAAAATAAAGAAAGCGATAAAGAGCCACTTAATCTATTACATGCCACTATACAAATACATTATTATAAAAATGCGAAAGTAAAGTAAACGCGCGTAAGATAAAATAATGCGTCTAAGAACCTAAGAAAAAATTCTAAGTAAAAAAAGTCTTTTTATTGTGTTGTTTTTAATTTAAAAAAAAAACTAAATTAATTATTCTAAAGTCTATTTAGAAAATTAACTTAAGAAAAATAAACTAAACTCTTTTTGTGGTTTTTTATATTTATGAAAAGAAATATTAAATCTAAATTAAGTCTTAAATTCTAGTTTATTTTAAATTAAGAAAATAATTAAAATTTAATTATTTAATTAAAAAAATCTATGCCTAATTTTTTGTGAGTTTATTATTATTATTATTAAAAAAGATTAAGAAATGAAATAACTAAATAAAACAAAAAGAAAAGAGATTGGGCTTGATGGCTGAAG